CAATCAAGTAGCATTCTTGGCTAATGAGATACTTCAACAATACAGCTGTTTCCAGAGTGCTACAGCAACCTATCACATTACCGGAGAGGCCCACTTTGGGAAGTGTGTGGAGAAGCTCGAGAGAGTCCAAAGGAGGGTCATGTGCATGATTAGAGGCCTGGAGACCAGGTCATACGAGGAGAGGCTTAAAGATTTGGGACTGTTCAGCCTGGAGAAGAGGAGACTCAGAGGGGACTTGGCGGCGGCCTATACCAGGGGCATACACCAGGGCCTGGGGGAGGATCTGTTTGCCAAAGCCCCCCAGGGGAGGGAAGAAACAGTGGGCACAAACTGATTGACGGTCATGTCAGACTAGACATAAGGACAAACTTGAGTGCCGAGGGTTTGGAGCAAGTTCCCCCCAGAGGTGATGCAGTCAACCACACTGGCCATCTTCAAAAATCATCTTGGCGCCCACCTTGCTGGGGTCATCTGCTCCCAGCAGTCTTTCCTGCCCACATGCAGTGCAGCTGGACCTGATGATCTGTAAGGTCCCTTCCAGCCCCCAACAACCTAACAACTACGAACTGGGCTTGTTCAGTCTGGAGAAGTGAAGACTGAGGGGGGATTTAATAGCAGCCTTCAACTACCTGCAGGGGGATCCAGAGAGGATGGAGCTGGGCTGGTTTCAGATGACAGAAGGAGCAGCGGTCTCACCGTGCAGCCAGGTTAGATGTTAAGAACGTGCTTCCTGGGAGGGCGGTGAAGCGCTGCGACAGGCCACCTGGAGCAGTGGTGGACTTTCCATCCTTGGAGACTTTTAAGACCTGACTGGACAAAGCGCTGGCTGGGATGTAGTTGGGGCTGGTCCTGCTGCAAGCAGGTAGCTGGACTAGTTGTGTCCTTTCCACCCTCATTTTGTGGTGGTACGATCCACATGAGCAGGATACAGCCCCTTTCCGGATAAGACAGCCTGAGGTTATTCTTAACAACGAAGATCTTATTGATTCATTGAAGCTGCTGACCACCTTGTTCCTGCCACTGAGGCAGCTGCCCCGAGAGGAGCTGCGGTTGGGCCTTCGCCTGTGACATCGCTCGGGTTTAATCAATGGGAAGCGCCTCCCGCGTACATACTACCCTGCCCCCCACCGCGGGTGTCCGCACGGGGAGGCTCCCCACCCCCGGCCGCGTCGAGCCTGCGCGTCTCCATGGCGCTCCCCTGCCCCGCCCGCAGTACCCCACTGCCTCCCACCGCCCGCCCAGCCTCAGCTGTACTCGGGGGGAAGTGACGTCTGGTGGTTGCTGTGCTCCCCCGGAAGTGGGCGGCGGACCCGGAAGTGGGGCGCGGCCGCTCCAGCCATGTAGCGCCCGCCCCGGGGGAGCCTCCCGCGGCCATGGAGCCGACCGAGAGCAGGTAGCGTCCGGGCGCGGCCCGGCCCTCGCGAGCACCCGTAGGAGGAGGGCGCGGTGGGGGGGCTGCCGGCGCGGGCCGGGCTCGGGGCCCCGCGCTGGCTTCGGGGCTGGGGGAGGAGCGTCACCCCCTTCACCTGGTGCTGGTGGTACGGCCCGGCCTGGCGTGGGATCGGCTACCTCACCTGTGACGTCACAGCTGCTATCCATGATGTCATGGTGACAGCCTCCCTGCGCTGGGCACTCTGCCTTGCCCCATGACATCACTGCTGGGCTCTGTGATAGCATTGCGGTACCATCTGCCCTATGACATCATCACACTGCTGGGCTTTGTGATGTCATTGCGGCAGCATCTGCCCCATGACATCATCATGCTGCTTTGTGACATTGCCGCTGGGCTCTGTGATGTCATTGTGGCAGCATCCCTGCCCTCCACATGCCGCATGGCATTGCCCGTGCCGTGCTCTCCAGGTGTTGTGCTGGGCCTGCGGCAGGGTGCAATACCCTGCCAGGGCCAGGCGTGGCTGTGCTGTCCCCTCACAACCGGGGCATGGCCTCAGGAAGGGCGCGGTGACACAGCAGTGCAAACGCGCCACCGCCTTGCACGCTGTGCACAGGTGTCAGGCAGACCTCAGGGATATGCGCCCATTGGCACCAAGACGCTAAAACAGAGCGGTGCTAAGGGAGCCAGTGACTGAGCGTCTGCAGCTCCCTGTCTCTGAGCTGGTTGTACATGCTGTGTGGTGGCTGTCCTATCTCTCTTCCCCAGCACTGTCAGATAAACATGGCTTTGCTCTGCTCTTGCTAACTGTCATTAAAGGGATCTTCCTTTTCCTGCACCCAGGGATGCTGCAGACCTCCCACTGCCAAATTTAACACCAAGGCATCAAGAACTTATTCCCACCCCCTGTGGCCCTGTAAGTACTTGAACTACGTACTTAGAATAGAATTGACCACTCAAATAATCTGTGTGTATTGTTCATTAGAAAGTTGAAATAGATACTGTGAGCCCCTCAGTTGAAATAAACTGTAGGAAGTCTTGAAATCAGTTGGAGAAATTGCTAAATGAAGCTGTGTTGAAATAATTATGTTATGCTAAATTCTGCCTCCAGATGACTCTCAAGCTCCACGTGACTGTAACACGTTCTTTTTCCTATTATCAGTAGCACAAAAAAATATTTTGTCAACGTGGCATAGCCTGTTCCCAGCAACAGGCTCCAAGGATTTGTTCATTCTCAGCAAATTTGAAAAGAGCTTGTTCACAGCCTCAGGACATCACCTAGGAACTTTAAGCATTACATTAATTTTTGACCCAAAGTTCTAAAACGAGAAAGACTTTTGGGCGTGAGGGGGGAGAAGATCATTCAGTGTCCTTGTAAGCATAGTGTTGTAGGTCAAAAGCCTTGATTTCAGGGACTTTAGCTTTACAGTACCCTGCTCTCCTGGGCAGTCCTATGAAAAGCAGAATTTGATCCCTAGGGGTAAAATAGATGAGTAGTGAGACATTGTAGGGCTGGAAACAACAGCATAACCGTTGGAGCTATGTAAACGGCTTCCCCTCATTATAGTACGCAATGGCATGTATTAAAAGAAGGACAGTTTAACCAGTGTTGCATTTTTTGAGAAGTTCAATGCCCTGATTTCAAACAGGCCTATGTATTTAATAACAGGGTTGGAGTGTTGTAGCCATGATGGTGCAGGAAACATGTGAGGCAAAGGGTTATTGTGATACGTTTTATTGGATCAACTGTGTAGTTGGAAGAGAAGTCTGACAAACTTTCAGACACCAAGCATCCTCTGCCTGGCCTATGTATTTATACATATTTCCTTTAATTCCAGATAAAGCCTTGGTCAGAATTGTCCTTCCCGGTCAAGATCTACTTCTGTGTGACTATCCTGTCTTTGTTGAGTGTAATAGGACTAACCATAGAGACCCTTGTTCGACAGAGAGATGAAGATTTCACCATTTCTCTTATACAGTTAATTGGAGTTGGTAAGAAATAACCAGTTCCTACGTGTTAAAACTGGTGCCTTGATTCACAGTGAGATCAGCAAATAAAGGGTAGTTCAGGCTTCTGATTGTGTTCTGTTTGATATAATAAATGCATTATGCCTTGGTCCTGTATAAACGACCTTGCGTTAGTTTAGCAGTGCACACTTCTCTATTATTTTAGGCAGACCATCGGGAATAAAAGTAGTGTCATGTAGAGAACAGTTCTTTAAATAATATCAGATATTTTGGTTCCAGGATTGTCTTCTGGTCGCTTTTTTCCCATTGGTTTTGCATGATTTTCTTGTAGTGGTTTCCCATTGGGCAGCTAGGCCAATGTTTGGGTTTAGGACAATATTGTTTTACTTAGACCTACATAGTCTCTGCTGTGCCCAAGAGTGGCTACCAGCTTCCATTTTTAAAGCATCTTTACTATAACAGATCCATATTGTCTCTGCTCAGCCAGAGTCTCTCAAGTGGCACCTGATTGCAAAAGTGTCTCCTTACGCTGCAAGAAGCTAGACTGGCAAATTGGTTCTTAAAAACCAGAAAATATGGTCTCTCTATGCCACACAAAGCAAAGTTGATGCTTCACCCACAGCATTTTAATGAAGTAAAATGACCACCCTGTTCTCTCCAGGTGCTTATATTCTAATGGTTTCCACCCTATGGGAAGTATTAGCCCTGTACAGTGGCACAGTTAGAATGTGTCCAGTAATAATATCAACAGAAACTGCACTGCACCTTCCTAGATCCTCCCTAATTCAATCAAAATGAAGCTTAATTTTAAGAAAAATAAAGGTATTTGGGAAAGCCTCAGCAGGTGGTATGAGTGGGTTTTGGCTGCTGTCTGGCCAACAGAAGCCTAGGAAGGAACTGCTAGTCACTGTGGGCACCATGCCTGGAGTCTGAGAAGGGCAGCTGGTCTTTGCACAGGGTATAAGCAATTGCTGCCAGGCAGCTTTGATACTGTCACCAAAACAGAGTGAAGGCTGTTGATGTTGTTTCATATTCTCTAATTAACACATGCAAACTAAACAGTAATTTGTTCCGGAACGTTGCTCCAATTAGCAGCTGGTCATACAGGAATTGTAAGACAAACATAAGATTCGAAACATTAGAGTAGAACGCTGGTCCATCCAGTTTGGCATCCACTTTCTGCTAGCAGTGGCCATCTGATGTGTCCCAGAAAGCTGAAGAATACCAGATCCATTACATTATGTGGCTTAAGAAGATGGTGAAAGCAACTTTCCTGACTCTAATCTGCTTTTCCTCATACATCCCATGTTGTTGTTCAGACTGGGCGTGTTTATACGAGATACTTTACTGCGCAGTAAATTGGTCTACACTGTCTACACATGCAGATGCTTAAGCTGCACAGTAAATTGGTCTACTCCAAACGCAGATAGCAAATTAACTATGGAGTAGTTACTGTGCAGTAACGCATGTATAGATGGCCAACTGGGAGCAAATTTGCTCTTGGTCAGCTGGGCAGCAGGAGGCAGGAATTCTTCCCTGCCCCTGGGAGCTGCTCACTGCTGGGGTGGGCTCAGCAGCAGGAAGCTCCGGGTCCTGGCTCCACAATTAGAGCAGGGGTTGGGAGACTGCTCCCTGTCCCTGGAAACTGCCTGCTGCTGGAGCAGGCTCCAAGCTTGGAGCCTGGCTGGGACAACATCCCTCTGCCCCGGCAGCAGGAAGCTCCTGATCCCAGCTCCATGATTGGAATGGGGGTTAGGAGACTGCTTGGAGCTGGGGCTGAGAGCTGCCTGCTGCTGGGGTAGGGGGAGATTCCATCTCAGAGGAAAGGTAGCAAAAGGGCACAAGCAACCCCCTTGGCTCAGCAGGGAACTTGTGGACCTCCTATGCCAAAAAAAAGAGAGGGTTATAAAGGGTGGAAGATAGGAATCGCCACAAAGGAGGAGTATTCTGCACTGGTCTGTACCTGTAGGGAGTAAACCAGGAAAGCCAAGGCTGCAACCAAACTCCACCTGGCAACACGTATCAAGAATAGTAAAAAGTCCCTTTTCAGATATGTGGGGAGTCGGAAGAAAAGCTAGGGTGATACTGGACCCCTGCTAAACCAAATGGGACAACTGATAACCGACATCCAGGAAAAAGCCAACCTGCTTAATGGGTACTGTGTGTCAGTTTTTCGTCAACCGAAAGGGACCGCCCTGCCTAGCATGATGCGGGATGTCCAGGGTGAGGGCGGATTTATACCCAGCATTGGTGTAGACTTTGTAAAAGAACACCTTGAGAGGCTGGATACCTTCAAGTCAGTGGGGCCTGACAGACTGCACCCCAGAGTACTTAAGGAGCTGGCAGGAGTCATAGCCCAGCCACTGGCAAAGATAGTCGAACACTCCTGGCACTCAGGTGAAGTACCTGAAGATTGGAAGAAGGCCAGTGTGGTACCCATCTTCAAGAGAGGGAGGAAAGTAGATCCAGAGAACTACAGACCAGTCAGCTTGACCTCAATCCCTGGAAAGATTCTGGAAAAAATCATCAGAGTCCATTCTTGTCAAGCTGGCTGACGGCAACATCCTGAGAGACAGCCAGCACGGGTTTGTTGTGGGTAGGTCTTGCCTGACCAATCTCATTTCCTTCAATGACCAGGTGACATATCACCTGGACAAGGGATAAGAGATTGGCATTATATATCTGGACTTTAAAAAAGACTTTGTTCTGGTGTCCTGATCTCCTCCTGGAAAAATTGGCCAAATGTGGCCTCAGCTACATCACAGTCCGATGACTGGGGAATTGGCTCAGAGCCTGGACTCAGAGAGCGGTGGGTGATGGAAGTGAATCAGCATGGCACTCTGTGACCAGTGGTGTCCCCCAAGGCTCCGTCCTTGAACCTGTACTGTTTAATATCTTTATCAACGATGTGGACACTGGTGTCAGAAGTGGACTGGCCAAGTTTGCCAATGACACTAAACTTTGGGGTAGAGCGTCCACACCTGAGGATAGGCTGGTGATCCAGGCTGACCTGGATAGGCTCAAAAAGTGGGC